CAAGGCTTTGAAGTGTTTCTGTTTTTCCCACTAAACATTTCTTTTAATCCAACTCTTCTGTGGGTTAGTGATTTAAATAGGATTTTGCTCTTGTCATGCTCCTCTCAGCTGACTATATTGGAAACTCCTTTATCCTATTTATGGAACCCATAACTCACGAGTCTACATGAAATGTTCAAAAATAGAAATGGTCATAATTCATCAGTTATAAGATCCATCTGTGATACTTTTCCCTTTAGTTGCATATATTTAAGTTTTATTATAACTTATTGTACCTATTATCTAGGCAACAGACCAGGAAGCACTTACAAATGCAGTCTTATCTGTATTCAAATTATTTTGCATTGGTACTAGAAACTTTCAGCATGAGCTTATTGGATAACAGGGTTATTAATAATTAATTACATAATAGAGCCCTTTCTATATTAAACAGACTACTAATACTGTAATTATTTCTCAGCCTTACGGATGGCTCTATGGTAGAAATGCAGAACTGAAGTGCCAGCTCAGTCACTGAATAAACGTGCCAATATTTTGTATTAAAAAAAGAAAAAAAATCAAACAATTATGTGTTGAGGCCCTTTTAATGCAGGTAATTTCAGTGTGGACTTGTCTTTTTGGTAGTTGTTCCTCCAAAAGTACATTCAACAAATTTGTTGACATGATCAAGTCCACCACAAGAACCATGAATGCTGCAATCTAAAATAGTCATAAAATTTGGTGAAACGTGAAGATATTTGGTTGAATGTAAACAGTGAAAACAATTAATTGTGGGTTCATACAATGTGAATGTCACAGGGATGTGTCTGAACAAATAATGTTTATTATCTTAGGAAGACATGTGCTCCTGTGAGGCGAAGAACCAACTCGCCCAGGATCAGGAGAGTGTACCCTCCGACTCTCAAATAAAGACAGAAGCACAAGAGACAGTAGTGATAGAAAAGGAATTAAGTAAACTAGAAATAAAAGAAGAGACTGAAGTGGCGCAAATCAGGTGGGAAAGGAAGAGGATAAGAAGGAAGGGTGGAGGCAGAAGCACGTTGGGGAAGAGAAAGGAGAGGAAAAAGAAGAACTTGTAGAATTGATCCAAAAAGACCCTTGGACAGGAGAGTGGGTAGAATTCAAGGTGCCCCGTTTGTACGCTGAAAGGGAATGGAGACAACAGATGTATAGAAAGCCACCTTACTGGGGGGAGACTGATGAGCGAAAGCAAAGGAAGGAGTACAAAGGGTGCGTAAAGAGGAAAGAACAGAGGAGAGAAAGACAGAGATGTACAGTGAGTCCAGAGAAATTCCGTGGGCCCAGCTCCTTCAGACCCCACCAGAGAACAATGCATGGTGCAATAAAAGGGGAACACCAGGAAAGTTCGACATTCAATCCACAAACTTGAAGTGGGCTGAGAACACGCCTGAGTTGATGGGTACCAGATCCAAATGGTCCCACAAAGTTAACAGTTATTCCCTGTTGCCGTACTGTGAAGAGATACCCAGTTTTAATAATGTTAAGACTTATGATTTATTGTTAAAGTTGGATGATGATAAATAAGACCTACAAATTGATGAAACCATGCTAAACAATAAACTGGTTTTATTAGAAGAATTGGGTGTGACAATCACTTCTTTGGATAAAGTAAAGAAAAAGGAGGTAGATGACAGGCGGCAAAATCACAGCTCCTCTTGTGATAATTGTTTCATTGTTTTGTCTCTTCCTAACATACATCTAATAGTACAGTAATTAAAAATGTTCTTCAACAATAAGTGTTGGATGGGTTGATAATGCTGACTCTGGCTTAGAGATGTGGAAGGGTGAATGGGGTACACTTTTCCTTCTGACTTTTAGCTATTAATAATTATATTTTTTAAACATAACATTTCCTGACATGGCAACCTGAACAGTTACTTTCTTTTTCATGGTAGAAGATTACCATTGATTCTATGAAATGAATGAAGAACATCTGTGATCCTGAATTACCTTAAATACCCTAATACCCTTTAATAAACCAGGTCTGTTGTAGGCAGCCAGGGTCAGACTAAAGTCCTTTACAGCATGAATAAAGAAATCCACTGGTGGCAGTGAAAGAAAAGAGGGAACATCACCAGCGTGAGCCCTTTTGGGTTGAGAAAAAGAAACGGGCACGGGGTGAACGTAACAATTACCATTAATTTTTATTTTATTTTTAAAAACTGGTTTATTAGAACCAACCAACCAGCCAGCCAGCCAACCAGCCAGCCAGCCAGCCAGCCAGCCTGCCAGCCTGCCTGCCTGCTACTATCTAATTAGTGCAAAGTATTAATTTGGGTGGTTAGCTGTAGGCATCCTTCATTCTTGAGAGACGATGGTAACATGCTCTGAATAGAGGTCTTGGAACAATGTCTAGCGTGGCTGAGAAGGCCAATTCAAGAGTGACAATCCCTTCCACATTGAAGACAAATACAATCTGTCCCCTGATTTTGCTGGTTTCAGGACTGCCTCTTTGCCTCTGCCTGCTGGACAAGTGTCTCTTCAAATTGGGAGAGGCCATGATGCAACGCCTGCCTCCAGGCTGAACGCTCAGATGTCAAGGTTTCCCATCTGTTGAGGTCCATTCCTAAGGCCTTCAGATCCTGCTTGCATTACAGCTGTGGTCTCCCTCTGGGGTGCTTTCCCTGCACTAATTCTCCATACAGGAGATCTTTTGGAATCTGACCGTCAGCCATTCTCACGACATGCCCTAGCCAACATAGACAGTGCTGTTTCAGTAATGTATACATGCTAAAAATTTAGCGGTTAACAGATAAATTAAACAAATACAATATATAACAATAACATAAAATGTAAACAATAAGCTGAAGTAATAACAACAAAACGAATCCATCATCAACAACAAAAAAGTGTGCCAAGTGTGTCAAAGAAAAGTAAGAAATGCAGCGCAAATTTGACAATCATTAGAGGATGCCATCAAAAGCCTCCTTGAAAAATATTTTTAACAACCTCTTATAGGTTGAAAAGGGGCTGGGGAGGCAGGGCTCCAACAGAAGCCTATTCCAAAGGGCTGGTGCTAGAATCGAGTAGGCTCAGTTTTTGGTGGAAGTCTTTCTAGCCTCCCTTGGTATGGGAACCTGCAGACACATGGCCTGCGAGGATCTATTGCTTTGAGTCAGTGTTCTTGGGGATAGCCTCACCATTCCCTGAAAAAGAATCCTCGCTGATGGGCTATATGAGTAAGCCGGATCCGGATCAAAAATGTTCCCTGTGTGGTAGGTGGCTGCTGAATTGAATTTGATGACACCTACCAATGTGTGCAGCAGCAACCTCAGCTGCCGTCATAGTCCGGGCACCGACTGAAGACACGCACCTCGAAGGGATTATTTTGCCAGCTTTCTGTTGTCAGGTGCGTACCGATTCTCACTCTATTGTCTGAAAACAAAGAACTACATCCCTATGCTGTCTAAGTTTTGCAGGGCATTTTCTTTTGGCATTCGCAAACGGTATGTACTGATTATTGCACAAACCCATCTTCATTTTGCTAATAAAGATTTTTCCACTATTTCCCGCTTTCCTTTTGCTGTATTGAAGGGGGGGGGGAGAGTATTATGGTCTAACGTTGGGCTGCCGGCAGTTGGACTACGGTGTACTTTCACCTGGGGGTAGGTCCCGCTGAGCTTGGAGAAATTTGCTTCTGAGTAAAATGTGTATAGAAACAGTCTCTACACTCAAACTAAGTTCGGCTACGATCGTGCTGATCTGAGGCGGTTTCACATGGTGCGGTAGAACAATCCTACTTGTGCATCGGCACCACGCAGTAGGAACAAGTGACTTGAGATCATACTTGCTTCCAAAAATTGAAAGTGGTTTTTAACACATTTAGAAACTCTGGACGGTAGTGAGGTTATATCTGTTGCTATACGAAATGGTGTTAAAATCATTTAACATTTTAAATTAAAAATTACTTATGAAAAACACACGGAAGTCTGAAAAATCAACGACATAATGACATGAGTTCGTATTTGGCCTCTCAGCAGAATGTATACGCAAAATAGAAGCTTCGTAGCAACGTCCCTTCGATAGCTCAGCTGGTAGAGCGGAGGACTGTAGAGGTGTTCTTCGGAGCGGTAATCCTTAGGTCGCTGGTTCGATTCCGGCTCGAAGGAGACTTGTTTTTACATTTTTGGGGTGGCTTTCGTCAGAAACTATTACATCTCACCTCCTATTCACTTTATTTTCAGCGGCAATGTTCCATATTTCGAGTCCGATTATTATTAATATAAATTTCCATTTCCCTTGAAAGTAGAATTCAAGAGTAAACCACTTCGCGCAAAACTCCAGAGGTGGTAGCTACGTTAGTCTGCAGCCTCTTCCAGCAAAAAACAACAACGTAGGCTTGCACAGCTTAAAAGATTAAGTTTTATTTGGCGTAAGGTTTCGTAGATTGAAGATCATTTTTTCCAAGACATGGTTACCATCCACGAACGTTTATGTCAAGTAAAACTCGCTAGTTTTTATGGTGCTCCGAGGTTGTTGCTTTTGCTGTAAGCCAACAAAAACAACTGCCCCTTAGAAAGGGCGGCTCCGTGGGCTAACTAATTTCATTTGGCACGAGCTTTTCTGGCTTGTAGTCCACGTCCTCGTAATGAGGCGTAGCCATGGGGCCAGCACGAGGAGCAACTGAGAGGCTATGCTCTGTGTCTGTTCGTATTTTTTAACGTGTGGGGGGGAAAAAAGGAGGGAAGGAGGTAATAGGCTGCCCCGACGAGCAAGGAATATTTTCAATGTTCATGGCTGGTTATTTTGCTGGAGACACTTTCCAACACCTTTTGGTTTCCCTCACGTCTCGGATGAGGAAAAGACTCTTTTTCCCAGCATGCCCTGCGCTTCAACCCGCCCTTGACTCCTCCCCTATCCCTGTCGACCTCTGCAGTATCCCGCCACCTCTTTTCCCTTACTGGCCGTTCCCCTTCCTTTCTCGCACCGACACCTCTGTTTGGTCGCGTGCTTTCCGGAGCAGCCAATGGGGAGGCAGTCCGCGTGCCCAGATTCAAACGGTGGCTCTGGAAAGAGGCTGGGCGCGAGATTCGGCGGCAGGGACGAAAAGACAGCGAGGGCGGCGGCGGCGGCGTCCTCCTCCTCCTCCGCTAAGGAAAGCCTGGGAGGAGAAGCGAGCAGTGACAGCCGAACGAGGCTACGGAGAGGAATTTGGCGCTCAGTGCCCGACCCTTTTCCCTCCCAAACGGGGTTGGGTGTCGGGGCGATGTCCCCCGGGTGGGGGACGAGGCGGGGCCGCGGCTAAAAGGCAGCTCCCCCCACCGCCCCCGGGCTCGTCCCTCGGGGGCTGCGCGACCGCCACGGCCATCCGTGGCCAGGGGTGGTGACATCCTCGCTCCCTTTCTCTCGCCTTATGGTGCCCGCGAAGGATGGCGAAGAGGCCGCGCAGGTAAGGAGCCACGTAGAGAGCCTCCCGCTCTCGGCATCTCTTCTTGCAGGCCGGCTGGACAGAAGGGGCGGCTGACAGCTTGCTTGCCTGCCTGCCGTTTCCACAGATGGATCCCCTCTCCTTCAGACGTCGCTCTTCTTCCTTTTCCACCTGCCCTGACATCAGCATCTTTGGGGCTGCTTCTTTACTTCTCGTCTGGAGTGCCTCGCTCTGTATTTTTTTTTTCAGTGCCAATGCTAAAGAGTGGTTGGGTGGGGTGCTGCCATCTGTCCGCTTGATCCTCCCCAATCCCACCATCAGGGGCTCCGACACTTCGATTTCTTTCTCTTTGGAATCGCAGACCATCCTGCACTCTCTACTCCGTTTTCTCTCTCTTTCTTTTTGGAACAGATTCATGTAGATATATAAAAAAAGGTCTTGCTTACTAGTAATGCATGCCTTCTTGCTTTTTTTTCAGTTCCATTTTCTTCTGGCAGACTTTTTTTCTAGGCAAAAGTTTGGCTTGTAGGGGTGTGTGCCTGAGTAGTGGCATCTAGTTTTAGCTGTAAGTGAACTCGCCATGCAACGAAGAAATAAGTCAAATATTATTTGTTTTGTGCAGAATTCACAACGAGGTACAAGGAGAACAATATTGTATTGGTCCTCAGTGTTTAGACTTGAAAAAGATACACTTAGCAATTTTGTCTATATATATTGACACATAATATTTATATTCACTGATATTTAGTTGATGTTTCTAAAATAAACAATTTCAGAAGTTTGTGCATTGCAAATTATAGTAAAAACATATAGACTTCTTAGGCTGACCTTCTTTTTGACACTTAAATATTAATTAAGGCATCCTAGTTGCAGAAGTCTTTGGGGAATTACTGATAGAACAAATTACTCAGAACAGTATGCCTTAGAGATGTAGTTTGAGTATGCAATATAATGTGATGTTGGCTATGGCAGTAATAATACTGTTTTCTGCTCTCACATTAAGCCAATAATTCCTGCTTTTGCCCTTCCAATTATTTCTGTTTCCTACCAAATGCTAATTATATTTTTCTGTTTTCTGTCTTTAGTCTTGAAACTGCATGATTAAAAAAGTTGTCAGCTTAGTTTGAATTGCCAGGTTATAATTCTGTAATGCTCATGCACAATTATTGACTCTTTATGAATAATCAGTAGTATTTATTTTCATGTAAATATGAGTAGGTTGCAGATCTAATGTGAATTAGATAATCTTTTTTGGATGTGAAACTGGTTATTATATCAAAATCAGAGCCAGACCCAAGAATTCAAATGTAGCACAGAAATGTTGTTTAGAAAAGCTGTGGCAAATGTTAATATCCATACCAGAGCCTGCCTGTGAGCCACCAAGCTGTGATTTGAAACCAAGTGCAAATATGGTTTGCAAACTACTGCTGTTTCTGTTTAACAGAGGTTCCCTTCACAACTGAAGTTGGAAGTAGTATAAAAGCAAACAGTAGTCTCTAGAAAAGTGGTAGATTTGAAAAAATCATCTGGTGGGAGCTTTAGGTATGGCTTGCTGAATGAGATCTACTGGCTGATTGGGTGCTCAGTGAGTTGGGTACTTGAGAAGAGCAACTCTTTCTAGCCTTAGGCAAGCTGCACAATACTGTTCCAGAGTGCCCCCAGAAGGAAATGCTAGACTACATCTGAGTACTCAGTATCTAGCAAAACATGGAAGGGGTTGCCATATGTGGGAATTAACCTGATGGCACACAATTAATATATTATAATTACCTTTGCATTTAAGAAATATACTAGCAGAGCTAGAGGAATGCCATCATGTTTGCAGTTCTTTGATGATGCTACCCTGAAAGCATGAAAACTTCAACAGGGTTTCATAAGGATCTAGGGAAATTAATGTTTGAAATATGGGATTACACTGAGTACATTCTGAGAAGGCTTGTGTGTATATTATGGCAAGATGCCAGATTTACTTTATAATAGCTAGTCTGCTACGTTTACCTCAGAGTTGTAATTCTACACACCTTTGCTCTACAGTTAGTATGAAAATGTGGGGTGCTACCAAACTACCCAGTCAACTGTTGTGTATCAATATTATACTTTTTTTATATTTCCATTCTATAAATTTATTATAGAACATTTAAAAAATGGCTGGATACAAAACAGTTAACCCCACATGTATATAAAAGCTGTAAACATGCCAATGAAAGTTTTGGAAGAGGCTTTGTGAAGAATTATGCTTTCTTATAATTTAGTCTCAAAAAGAACAGGATATTGTTATATCTGCAGTGGTGCCTCCATTACGATGTTAATTCGTTCCAGCGAAATCGCTGTAGAACAAAAACGTAATGCGAAATAAAAAAGTCCATAGAAACGCATTAAAACTCTATTAATGTGTTCCTATGGGCTTGAAACTCACCGTCCAGCGAAGATCCTCCATAGCATGGCCATTTTCACTGCCCGTGCAGTGAGGAATCCGTCCCAGAAGAGAGCGGGGAGCCATTTTTTAAACCCGCCGGCCATTTTGAAACCGCCAATCAGCTGGCTGAAAATCATCATTTTGCGAGAATCGGTTCCCAAAGCAGGGAACCGATCATCGCAAAGCGAAATTCCCCCATTTAGACCATCGTTTTGCGATCGCAAAAAGTTCGTCGTAATGTGATTTTGTTGTTAAATGGCGTGCTCGTCTTGCGAGGCACCACTGTATATGCATCCTACCTGAACAACTTGGAAGAGTGTGATAGAATTGTGATAAATAAAAATTGTGATGGAAACACCTGACAGTGTTAGAATTACTATTTTGTTAGATGTCATATGATTGGCAGGTGGGTACAAAAGTGACAAATCTGCTTCTTATTTGTATTATTTAGTGAATTTCAAGCTGAATTCTCTACTGATGTTGCAGATTAAGATGCATACTGTGACGAGGTTTTGTTTTGTTACATTGCATAGGGCAAAATCCTGTTGCACAACTTTATACCTGGTGCAACTCAGATTGAAAGCTGGAAATCTTTATTTAATTTATATGAATTAAAAGCTTCTAATCACCTCATTTTAGGTTCTGAGACTCCACTTAGGCTCCCTTGGACAACACTTTAACCGAAAAAAAAATCACTGCTAGATCAGTGGTGGTGGTTCTGATCCTGACAGCGGCAATCTGGTAGCGATATTTGACTTCTAAAGGTTCCCCTAGTTGTCCTGAGGCTCCCAAAATCTTCCCAGGACACAAGGGAATCCAAGGGAGCCTCAGAGCCTAAAATAGGGAGTGACTGGAAACCATCTAATTAATATAAATTAAATGTTTCCAGTGCCCAATCCAAGTTACACAACAGGATTTTATTAACTGACTTTTATTAAGTTTTGTGACAGTTCAGGATAACATATTAATAACTGAGTAAACACCAGCAGCAATGTCTTCAAAGCCAACAATATTGATTCTAAATCTTATGTTAAATACTTCTTTCTTGAGCTGTTGCATAAGCATACTTTCACTGTCTGTGTTAACTTAATATTAGCTTACACTTTGCAGTGAGGAAGATGATGACGACTTTCATTATGCGGATCATGACTATGAAGTGCCACAACAAAAAGGGTCAAAGAAACTATGTAATAGAGTAAAATGGACACGTGATGAGGTGAGTCTTAGATAATGGTTTTTCTTTTATGCTTCAGTGTAGTGCTATGTATCTGTTTATAGCATTTCTTAATGTTTGAATAGGATGAAAAGCTGAAGAAGCTTGTAGAACAGCATGGGACAAGTGACTGGACCTTTATTGCTAGTCATCTGCAAGTAAGTGAAATCTGTTTCAGTGAAGAATTTTTTAACACACAAGTGTCCCCAGGTGTTACATCATCTGTGCATCAGTCCATATGAAAAGGTTATGTATACCAAGTCAAATTTCAAAAATATCACTTAATGCTTTTGCATATGTCATGTGGTCTCAACACTGAGCAACAAGTCTTAGTTACAAGTGGAAGCTCTCGTAATGTTTTACAGAATCCTATGTGATTTATACAATCTTGAATCAGCATGAGAGACTAGATAGATACCCCCTCTTTTTTTTTCACAGAATCGATCTGATTTTCAATGCCAGCATCGATGGCAGAAAGTTCTAAATCCAGAACTTATTAAAGGCCCCTGGACTAAGGAAGAAGATCAGAGGGTAATTAATAAATATTTCTATTCATACAATAGGATTAGCCAACAGTGTACTGTTTTGCTTAGCATTACTTTTTAGGGAGCACTGAACATAGTTGAATTTCTTTGCTTCATTTACTAAGGATCCATGTGTATTTTTCTCTTTGTTGTTAATTTGTTGAATACTGTCACTGTTCAATTTGCATTCCAGGTCATTGAACTTGTTCAGAAATATGGACCAAAGCGCTGGTCTTTGATTGCAAAGCACTTAAAAGGAAGAATAGGGAAACAGTGTCGAGAGAGGTGGCACAATCACCTTAATCCAGAGGTAAAGAAATCTTCATGGACTGAGGAGGAGGACAGAATCATCTATGAAGCTCATAAACGTTTGGGGAATCGGTGGGCTGAAATTGCCAAGTTGCTGCCTGGAAGGTGCTTTTTATTTTAACATTTCCATGTGTGCATACGATAGTCAATACAGAGTTATTCTGGGTTTCAAAAATCTATAATTAAATCTTTGGCACATTATTGCAGTTAAAGATCAGTGATGCCACAAGCTTTACTAATAGACATGAGGATATTTTTCAGAGCTTAGTGCGTGACTGTCAAAGCATGACCTACCAAAAACACAATCTAGTTATGTACAAGAGTGGTTCTGAGTGTCCAGGGGAATCTCAGAAATCAAGGATGCCTTGTTACCTGAACTTGCATCTACCTTCCGTCTCAAGTTAATATGTGCATCAATTTTGACCTAACAGGTTTTTTGTTCAGTAGGCTGTGCTCCATAACAGAAAGTCCTATGCCTGACTAACCTAGCTAGGCATCCACTGGTTTCATATGACCCTCTTCTCTAGGTTTAGTCTTGGACATTCAGGATGTATTTTGTGCAGCTGTGTGGAACCAGTCCATACAATCTTGCTGATATGCCAACAATTTATTTGTGAAATGACGTAGAAATAGTCTTAACTTCGAGGTATGTGCTAGTTCATGTCATCTTGCTACCCATTCCCAGAGGTTTAGAAGAAGCAGGAAGACAGTTAGGTAGATTAGCTGCTCTGCAGTTCCTTAGTTTAGATTGCCAGCCTGCAATATATTAAATTCTTTGGCCAAAATCCAGTTGTGAAGCTACTCTTGCATAACTTGAAGTTTTGCATGCAGTTGTGAAATTCAATCCAAGGTAAAAATCACACCCAAGCAATTCTGCAGATGCATTCCCACAACATGGGAATTGCGCTATTAGTGAGCTGGTCACCTGACCGTAATAAATAAATTCATTGCACTATTAGGCACCCAATACAGAGTAACTCTACACTGTGCCAAGTGTAATACGATTTCAGCCCTTGGTTTATTAAAGTCTCCAAGATGTTGCTAGCTGATATAAATGCTCTTAATAAGTACCTTTCCTTATAGCATAGAATGGTTTCTCACAGGTTATGTATGTTGCAGTGTAGAAGTGCACACATATGATCCCTAGATTCAGTATAGCAGACTCAGTTTCTTCCTAAGTTTACTCTTAAAGGGAAGCTAGAGAAAAATATCCAAGATTTTTTCTTCATTTAAATTCATATTTCATTTGGTGTTACTTAAAAACCCAAATTGCAAAATGTCCTTTACATTTTACATCTCACAATGGCATGATATAGTGAAGATACTGGGCTTATGTGCAGGAGTAATAAAATTACTGTAGAGTTATCTCTGTGTAGACTGATCTTCTTTAAGAGACATACACTAGTGTCTCTTATTTTATGATTCCTATATAGGAAGGTGCTTGGCTGAAACAAGAAGTGCTGGTGTCATTTTCTTAAATTATTTTCTTGCTTTAGAAAATGATTGCTTCTGAATGTTTTTGTGATTTACTTGCTGATACAAATTATTTTATTTCAAGTGGTTCTACTACTAAACACAAAGAAATTTACTTGTGTGTTCAGCTTCCAGTGTCCTAATTTTCTACTACTCATTCTGTAAATGTTTGAAAGTTTTCAATCATTGAAACAAGTTCTTTGAATCTAAGGAGGCATTAGACTCACTTTTAATAATAGAATTGTCACACTGCTTTAAAGAGATGTTTGAAATGTTTGTTCTAACTTAGTGAATTTTTGAAGTGTAACTTTGCATCTTAAAACTAATTGTATACCTATTTGTTTCCTTATTGAATAATTTGCTTAAAGTCCCAAGTAAATGCAGTATCACTTATTTCTTCCATTGAAAATGTGATTTCAAGTTACTTATCTTTGGCTGACATGTATTTTATAATTTGTTCAGAACTGACAATTCAATAAAAAATCACTGGAACTCTACTATGAGAAGAAAAGTTGAACAAGAAGGATATTTACAGGATGGAATCAAAACAGAGCGACCTTGCTTATCCAAAGTGCCACCAAAAACATGTCCATCCACAGACCATCTTCATGTCTCAAATCAGTTCTACATACCTGTACAGGTACATGAAAGATCATAGACTGTTTTGTCCATCTAAAAAATGAAGAAATTGAACCTTTCAGAATTTATTAATCTTTTAAAGCTTATTAATACTCAACTCTGGAAGAAGCAGGAAAATACCGTATTTTTTGCACCATAAGACGCACTTTTTCCCCTCCAAAATGTGGGTGGGGAAGTCAGTGCGTCTAATGGTGTGAATGCAGCAATTTCGTCGCTGCTGGCCCCGTGGGGGGGAGCGTCGCAAGGGTCCGGGTGAGCCTTCCAGCACCCTTGCGAGGCTCCCCCACCCCCCCACGGGGCCAGCACCAGCGAAATCGCCAGCTTCCAGGTGGGGGGAATGTCGCAAGGGTCCTGGAAGCTCACTCAGATCCTTGCGACGCTCCTCCCACCCACGCACGGGCCAGCACTGGCAAAATCGCCAGGTTCTGGGAGTGTTTTGAGGCTTCCCAAGCCTCAAAACACTCCCAGAACCTGGCGATTTT